CGAAAATAATGACCATCATATGCTATCCAAATAAGAAAAATAATGAGCAAAAAAAGAAAAATTCCACGAATTAGCATCTCAAAGCATTGAAGGGTACGTAGAAAAAATGCCCATCTTATTTTAAGTGACGAACTTTTCAGATTGCAAAGTCCAAAGTGGATTGCGGCACGGCACATCCTTGACAATCGTAAAAGACTGGTAAGCTGCGCGTTCTTGCACGAGTTCAAATTTACACACTTTTTCTTAATGTGAGATAATATAAAAAATTACTCTAATCATCATATATATAGTTATGCTTGATTAAATTAGCATACAGACTTCCTATATCTGAATTAATATCAAAAGCTAAAGTATATCGATGACGAGTCTAATAGATTATATGGTGTGGATGCGTATTGTATGGCGGCCAATTCAGTTATAAACTTTTAACTAATTTAGTCTTAAAACCTTTTGAAAATTCATAAAGTATTTTGGGTTTTTTTCTTTCTTTCTTTTCCTTTTCTTTTTTCCTTATTTTCCTCCGCCAGTGGCCAGGTCTCGACGATGGAAAGAAATTGCAACAATAATCTACATTAGCATCGGCCTACCACTTAGGACGGCCAACATCTATGTCAACGATTTCTGGTTAACATTGGTCGAAATGATTACATTAACAAATCATCAAAAGGTTTATAACTAAATTAGCCAAATTTGAGAGATTATGACTGAATCGGCCACCGTACAATAGGTTTAGGACCTATTGGACAATTAACGCTGTCAATATCAAGTGACTTATTTAATCTTCATTGTTTAGGTGAATTCACTCTTTATGATGCATATGTATTTTTCATCAAGATTGTACTGAACATTTACTATATGCAATGTTAATTGTCCAAATTTTTATTTATGAGTCAAATTTAGCCTAGAGCAGAGTTCTATAGATCAATTGCATCGACAAATTTATGAGGTTATCACAAGTTCAGTGATGTATTCGTGTAAATCTAGATTTATACGTAGTCTAATGAAAAACATAGATTAATTCAAGTTGGACAATGTATTTCCACTATATGTACTTCGGGGATAAGCTATACGATACAAAGTTATGACCTTATCTAAATGGCATGATGTCTTTAATGTAATGCATTAGATATTTGCGCACGGGACAGATAATTTCAATAGAACGATAATTTTTATTGCGCAAGGAAAACCATAGCCACAATTTGTAAAAATATAATCTCTTGATATAGTTTATAATGGCCCAGAAAGAGGGTAAAAGTGGCAGGTCTGCGGAGCGCCCGTCTCTTCCATTATTGTTTCTACCCTTATAACGAGGATCACCAACGTTCGTTGTTTCAAGTCCTTTGTTTTTCGTCCGCCGATCTTCATCCTCAAAAGCATAACTATCTCGTGAGCAACTGGTCTCTCCGATCTTCATCCTCAAAAGTATTGGTATCTAGTGAGTAGCTGGTCTTTCCGTTGTCATCGAGGAGTTTTCGTAAATGAATAAAAAAGAGCATTTTACAGTGCCGTTTGAGCTCTCATCTACAACACCTCATCTTCGGAAACCTTTCAATTTTGTCAACGCTATACAATGCCAATCATGGGCATTATTCATTGTGGGACTCTATGTCAATTGTGAGCATCATCAATGAGGGAAATCGCCGTCAAGTGTCTTGGCAAGTATGAGCACGGAAGTCGAGCACGTCTTCATTTAGCAGCCGAAGTTGAGCGTGGTGGGGTGATAAATTTTATTTTGCTGCAACTCAAGTTGGTTTTCCACACAATTTTGTAAAGGTTTTGTGAGAAAGAGGTGTCACCTTTTAGATCATGTGTTTCCCGGGCGCCTATCAGATCCGGTGATGATGTGGATTACATTTGATTAGTCATGTAAGGTTCGATCTACAATTATAAACACGTCCCTTGTCTAGTGTAAGGTTCGGCTTACAAGGCACTTTGGTCACAGAATTTCGAAGAAAGTTGCACTTGTCGTATGCCAACTACATGCTTTAGCTTGAGGTGGAGTGTTCAAATATATGTCTGGATGTCAGAGTATTCGCTGTTGTAGAATATTGTTAGAGACATTATTAAATATTATGGATATCATTTGATGTTTCATTATTTTTTAAGATAGCTAATTTTCTTGTTAGATTGGATTACTTCCTCTTTTTGTACATAATTTTTTAATATAAATACCCCTCGACATAGTATAAAGTCAAGTTATCGAGTAAGAATGTAACTTTTGACTATTTTCTTTCTTCCTCTCTCTTGAAAATCTTAGAATATTTATAAGAGCATACGTATATTATTTATCGACCTTCAAACAAGAGTTGTTGGCCGTACTAAATTGATTTTAGTATCAGATTGTCTGACGTGACCTCTTTGCTGGTAGTGTTTGAACTTAAGCTCGTGACAGCCAACTGCGATCTTCTCCTGTATCCTCGCTCTAGAAATATAATATATCTTTTTGGTGACATGCTGCCTCATGAAAGCATCATATTCCATAAGCATATGCTAAATTAGGTGGATGGATCGATAGAAATTATTAAAATATATACATATAGATGAACGTCAAGTGTATAATGTCCTTTGGCAAAATTTCAGTTTTGTCTCAGCATTTTCAGCTTCCAAGGCATATAGGATTGCTATGATGTGGAATCTGTCTCTCAATAAAAGATTGTCCAATTTGTCATTGTCGCAAGCAATTTAGCGTAGGATTTGGTCTCCAGCAATTTTTTAGGTTTCTTCTTTGGGCTACGATATAGAAGAGGAAAGCGATGGGAACTATTGTTTAAACACCATGTTTCCATCTTACCCAATAAAAATAAGTAAGACACAGTGATTTTATCTTGTCCTTTTATGGACAACTGTTCATCGAAGTTGTTGACACCAACTCCAAGTCTGTTTTTTAGAAACCCCCCAAAAAAATACCATAATTTGTCTGACTTTGTCTCTTGTATGTGAAGAAAACCCGCAACAATAGAAATGCTTTGAGAATACTAACAACTGATAAGGTCATTACTCTGTATACTATAACTATTGAGAATACTAACAACTGATAATTTCGCATGCATTCCTGTATGTTCCGAAAACTATGACACCCTAAATCCCACGTCAATGATAAATGTCTTCCTGAGTGATTCGTGCATACGATTCTTATCAAAATAATCACCACCTCGGGTGATTGTTTGAGCACTTCTTATGAGAGCTTGACTCTTATAGAAGGACCATGTGTGCTGCAGATAGCTTCGGAGAGGATTCCTTTCGATAGATATGTGGTTCGTGGATAAACTAGGCATGTACCTAATCCAACAAGGGCGAGGAATGACCGTTCAGCAGGAAGACTCTCGAACAAGGGTGTGACTCCTTACAATCTACCAGGACGGTGGAGAAGGCATGAATGGTCTGGATCGTGCATCAAATCGAGAGAGTATCATCGAGCGATATGAATCGACTTTGACGTGGGCATTAGTGCCTTAAATAGGGAAGCTTGTAACGTTATAAGTTTCCCATCAGATGGAGGGAGTCTGCTTGAGTGAACCATAAATGAGGCACACTCTTGAATGGCCATCATCTCTTATTGTCGCTTTGAGTATTTGCTTTAGAGGTGAGGCCCACATGGATCGGGTCAAGCCAATATATATTTTTTCTCTTTCACGTTCTAAATTTTAGCTCGGACGAGAGAGACCTTCTTGATTAATCGAGAAGTAAAACTTTCAAAGGGATCACCATCACCATCTTGTCTTGTTATTTTGAGTACTCCTTTTTGGGATTTGACCCACGTGGAACAGCTTAGGTCGTCACAGATAACATTGTAGCCATAAGCTCTTCAATGGATGTGTGGTTTGTAAACAAACTAAGCCCGAGCCAATCCGGCAAGGGCGAGGAGCGATCGCAGTAGCGAAAGGGCTCAAACAAAGTGCGGCTTCTAAGGGAAAATGACACAAACAATCCTTAAACTTTGACTAATTGTGTAATCTGATCCCTTTACTTTTAATTTATTCAATGTAGCCCCTGAACTTTAGTCTAATGTTCAATGTGGTCTCTGAACTTTTGGTACATGTTCAATTTAGTCCATGAACTATACGAAAATGTTCATTGTAGTCCTTCCATAGAAGAGGTCAGATCTCAAGTTGATAATATATGGGCCTAACCTTACTTAATGCCTTAAGTAGTAGCGCTTGTGATGATACTCTATATTACAACTTCAAAGAGATTTGTCAAAGGCAATGGGCTTTTTTCTTGGGTTGGACAAGGAGCAAGTACTGCAGCTCGAACGCCATATCGATGTTCGGGCACAGGCCCAGCATCTAGTGAATAGAATGAAGTTAGTGAATGTGCGAAATTGTGTTTTTAAGTGATGGTGGGCTTGGGGCAAGGTTTGGTTTAGGTTTTGTATCATCATTTAACGAATCTAAAAGCCTCCCTAATAGATTGACTTATCAATTCTCCAAAGGTCCAATTGATTTCCTATTAATAAATTCTCGTTTCACGTGACATCGGGAGTTATTCGATATTTTGATCTGTGTCAAGCCAGTCGCAACATTAGTATTTTCCGGCGAAAATGAACCGGAATGACCATTTTAATTTGGCAAAATTAAAAAGTTTATGATTGAATTGACATATGCACTGTTGGTTTAGGACCGATCGGATAATTTTCCATCCAAAACAAGAATAAAAAAATAGGCTAACTAGCTCTATCGAGGTACGTAGACAATCGAAAGAGTCATGTTTGATGAAATGACGCCTCCTGATGATTGGTTATGTCCATCATTTTCGGCTCGACGGTGGTCGCCGGAAGAGCTCGGGTCCGGTCGGGCGATACCCAAATGGAAGGCCTGGATTCTCGTGCGGTCCATCGGAAGGGAATTAACTTTTGGAGCGGGTACCGACCCGTGACGCCTCGGATCGGGTCACGATTCTTTTTCTATATATATTACTTTTTTCATAATATGATGATTGTGTGAAGTCTTCGTTGAATCCTCTTCGCTCTACTTCCTCTTCTTCTTGTTCGTCGTCTTCTTCTTCCCTTCCTGCAGTCACCCAAGCGATCGATCGATCTCTCTCTCTCTCTCTCTCTCTCTGGCCACAACCATGAAGCGCGCGATCGACGACGTCGCTTCCGGCGCCGCCGCCGCCGCGGGCGCCGCCAAGCCGATGTTCCTCACCAAGGCCGAGCGCGAGAAGCTCGCCCTACAGCGCCGCCAGGACGAGGTGGCCGCCCAGAGGCGCCGACAGGAGCAGCTCCTCCTCTCCCAGGACGGCGGCATCCCCCCCTCCTCCTCCGACCAGAAGCCCTCCGATCCCGACCCCCGCGACCGCGACCGAGACCGCGACAGGGAGCGGGACCGACCGCGCGACCGGGAACGGGAGCGCGACCGCGAGCGAGAGCGGGAGCGGGAGCGGGAGCGGGATCGGCGGGAGCGAGATCGTGAGTCCGAGAGGAGGAACCGTGAGAGGGAGCGGGAGGAGGAGGCGAAGGCCCGCGAGCGCGCACGGCTGGAGAAGCTGGCGGAGAGGGAGCGGGAGAAGGAGCTCGACGCCATAAAGGAGCAGTACCTGGGGTCGAAGAAGCCTAAGAAGCGGGTCATCAAGCCAAGCGAGAAGTTCAGGTTCTCGTTCGATTGGGAGAACACCGAGGACACCTCCCGGGACATGAACGCACTCTACCAGAACCCTCACGAGGCGCAGCTGCTGTTTGGGCGAGGGTTCCGCGCCGGCATGGATCGCAGGGAGCAGAAGAAGCTTGCGGCGAAGAACGAGAAGGAGCTCCGTGAGGAGATTCGCCGGAAGGAAGGGGTTGAGGAGAAGCCCGAGGAGGCCCTCGCGCAGAAGCAGAGAGAGGAGGCTGCGGATGTGTATGATACGTTTGATATGAGGGTTGATAGGCATTGGACGGAGAAGAAGCTCGAGGAGATGACGGAGAGAGATTGGAGGATCTTCAGGGAAGATTTCAATATCTCCTACAAAGGGTCTAAGATACCTAGGCCTATGCGGAGCTGGGTAGAGAGTAAATTGAGCTCTGAGCTTCTGAAGGCTGTGGAGAGAGCAGGGTACAAGACGCCTTCTCCTATTCAGATGGCTGCAATTCCTCTTGGGTTGCAGCAACGCGATGTCATTGGCATTGCGGAGACCGGGTCTGGTAAGACTTGTGCTTTTGTGCTCCCTATGTTAACTTACATTTCAAGATTACCTCCACTGACTGAGGAGAATGAGGCCGAAGGGCCTTACGCTGTTGTGATGGCACCGACCCGTGAACTCGCTCAACAAATCGAGGAGGAGACTATGAAGTTCGCCCATTATATGGGGATTAAGGTGGTTTCAATTGTTGGTGGGCAGTCAATTGAGGAGCAGGGGTTTAGGATCAGGAATGGTTGTGAGGTTGTGATAGCAACACCAGGGCGTTTGATTGATTGTCTGGAGAGGCGTTATGTTGTTCTTAACCAGTGTAACTATGTTGTTCTTGATGAGGCTGATAGGATGATTGATATGGGTTTCGAGCCACAAGTTGTGGGCGTGTTGGACGCCATGCCGTCCAGTAATTTTAAGCCTGAGAATGAGGATGAGGAGCTCGATGAGAAGAAGATTTATCGCACTACTTATATGTTTAGTGCTACGATGCCGCCTGCTGTGGAGCGGCTCGCAAGGAAGTATTTGAGAAATCCTGTAGTGGTTACAATAGGTACCGCTGGAAAAACTACTGACTTGATATCTCAACATGTGATGATGATGAAGGCATCGGAGAAGTTTCACAGGTTACAGAAGTTGCTTGATGAACTTGGCGACAAGACAGCTATTGTCTTTGTTAACACTAAGAAGAACGCAGATACAGTTGCTAAGAATCTGGATAGGGCAGGCTACAAAGTGACTACTTTGCATGGTGGTAAGTCTCAGGAACAAAGAGAGATAAGCCTGGAAGGTTTTAGATCCAAGAGATATACCGTGCTAGTGGCAACAGACGTTGCAGGGCGTGGTATTGATATACCTGATGTGGCCCATGTAATAAATTATGATATGCCTGGTAACATAGAAATGTATACACATCGTATAGGGCGAACAGGTCGTGCTGGTAAGACGGGTGTGGCTACAACATTCCTGACTCTAGGCGACACAGATGTCTTTTATGATCTGAAGCAGATGCTTATTCAAAGTAACAGTCCAGTGCCTCCTGAGCTGGCGAGGCATGAGGCTTCAAAATTCAAGCCGGGATCAATTCCTGACAGACCTCCTAGACGAAATGACACCGTTTTTGCTCACTAATCAAGCCGAGTTATTGCAAGATAGTTCCTAGTATAGGGTCTAGTTATTGTTCCTTGCACTGTGCAATGCTCTTTTTCCAAATGAAGAATTCAGTATACTATTTGATAAGTGGGATCAGTCCAAATTTGTGCAGGTATCAGTGCACTGAGAGTGGTAATTGATGTTATTTTTGTTAGAAACATTGTATTTGGAGCATTGTTATTACAGCAGCAATTAGCTACTGCATCATTTCACTAGTTATAGCATATGGAGGTTTTACTTATGGTGGCTTGTTGTATCTAAATCCTTCTCTCTGATTTGCTCAATTATCTGATGTTTCAGTGACCTTGTGGATTGTTCTTTCCCTTTTTGACTTTTAAGATGTTGCAGCTTAAAGACTGTTATATTCAACTTCTGCACAGTCTTGACTTGTCTTCTTTTATTGTGTGGATGTATTTATTCTGTTTGCGTTTTAAATGTTTGGAAGGAACATGTTTACCATGATCTATCTGGACTAGTACCATGGAGGTAATTAATGTTTAGTGCAGATGTTATGTTTAGTTGAGAGCCTTGAACATGGTACTTATATGATGATCGACAGATGTTGAGTTTAGAACTAAATTTTCTGTTAACATAATCAGAGTGCAAGTAGAAGACACGTGCGAGCTGTGCTTACATGCTGAAATGGGTGAATCATGACCTCAGACTTTGTAACCAGTTGTCTGCAGAAAATGAGTGACCTTCTCTGCATAATATTTTAGGTAGATTATAGATGAAAATTCACTCCAAAATATTACCTGCTAAAGTTGAGGTAGTATCAGTGAGAACTGTGGCGCGTTACCTTTTCCACAGTTTTATATACTTCTTTTTACTACGGCTTAGAAAAGTACTTATTGCTTTTCAAAATTTTGAAAACGAAAAAAAGAAAAGCATAAACAGTTCAGTAAACATTCTAAACAAGTCTACATATCATATTTATGTGATTTGAAATGTTACAAGTGTTTTATGTTTAAAAAAGTGAAGTATCAAACGCTACTATAAAAGAAAAAGCAAAATATGGTCCCAAACACCTCAAATCCTCGGACTTGGAAGATCCAGTCACTAGTAATCAGGAATGTCAAATGGACGAAAGTTTTGAGTTTTGTATCTTATGTTATGGACTTTTAGTTGGCTAAAGATTGGCAAAATCTGGACATTGAGGATCCTTTTACTGGAGCAAAGTGATTCTGACAAGCCAAACATCGATCTATTAGTTAAAGAAAAAGAGATGGGAAAGTTGTGAGGAAAGACTGAACTGGAGAAGGGAAGTTACTAGGAAGGACAATGAACCTAATGCTGTTATTGAGTCCTGATCTCAGTGGACAGAAACAGTTTGATGCAGAATTTAGTTTCAATTTGTCCCCACCTCCCTATGAGACCCCGCAAAGAAGGTAGTTGTTCGCATTTGAATTTGAAATTTAAGGCGTTTAAATCAGCTGCAGCACTAAGTTGGCATATTAAATGACTGATACGATAAGGGCGTTGGAGGAATGAATTTTGGAGTTGTCTTCATCTAGTTGGTAGCTAGGTACACATTTCAAGGCAAGGAGGTTTTGTTGCCTGGCAGTGCACACGTACATCCATGGGTTTTGGGGTCTTTTACTTCTTTTTTTAAGGTTTTTATTCTTGTGATGGGGGGGGCGCGCGCGGGGCGCGGTGTTAATTATTTAGCTTTCAATATAATGATGTTATATTGCATGTAGGCTTGAGGACATCGATATTTGATATATAGGTGTCATGTACCTCTTGTGCTCTTGTCGTTTATTTCGGGGTTGGGAACATAAGCTGTTTGCTACGTGTAATCATCTGCTCTGCTCTTGCAGTTTACTGTAGATTAACCTGTTAGTGTTACTTTATCCTCTCTATGAATAAAATTATCGAGGTGACCTTATTGTAATATCGTTCATACTTTTGGATAGTCTTCTGATGGAATTTTGGGATCCAGGTAGGGTGCTTCTGCTCAAGATCTACTTTAGATAATTTACCTTAAGCTGTTAGTGTTCCCTTGTTCTCTCTATGGAGAATCATTAATGTGGCCTCAATGGAATAACGGTAATTTCTTTTGGAAAGTCTTCTGATCTTTCGCCAAAAGGCAGGGAGCTGCCAAAGATGGCAAATACTGTGGGTCATATGTTATATTCAGATTGCAGCTTTGTGGGTGGGCACTGTAATGTGATCTTGGGGCTTTGGATTCACTTAAGTTGTTGATGAGACTTGATGGCATCACTTCTCTTTATTATTTGCCATAACTAATTCAATCTTCTTATGGCTAGAATTTGTTTTATTTGATAAGTGATAAACTAGGAACAAATCTTAGAGAATCAGTGAGACTAGCTAGAGGATTGATGGACTAAGGTGAAGCGCATATAGAGGCTCAAGGCACGCCAAAAGGAGAGTTATAGACAGCCTCACCTTCAGCAGAACCATGCATATATGTAGCATCACTTGTGCATGCCAAAGCGATGTCGGATATTGTCCCTGCCTAAAGAATCAAGTGAGACTAGCTTACTGCTTCAAGGGACAGAAGGGAAACACATATAGGTTGACCTTACCCTTCATATCTTTTCTAGTATGGTTGCAGATTGTTTGCCATGGACTAATGATGATCTTTGAGCCGATTAGTTCATTTTCTTGTTCAGGTTTATTGATGTTCTAATTTGTTAAATCGTATTGCTAACTGCTAAGAGTGATTTTGGTGGATTGCGGAAGACAGAAACCAGGCATTGTAAGTTCAAGAGATCGAAATCTCTTCACTCGTGTTGATGTATCGCTTCTTCCTTTCCATTTGATACTTGGATAAAACCTTCCATTGTCAATATTTTTTATCTGAACAACTATTGAGTTCTAGTTACTTGTGCTTTATATAGCTGATGCATACAATTTTCTGTCTCAATACTCATCCATCTGTTCGTAACTAATAATTGGTTCTACCATGAGATCTGATCACTTTATACTAGGAATCCTACAGTTAGATGGATAGCAGTTATCTGGACCGTAAAGCCATTCTTGAATCCCAAGCTCTTTACAAGATGTATTATGACTGCACCAAACATGGATCACAGATAGAGGCAAACTTGTGGTGGGCATAGCATGTATATGGTTTCACGGAGGTGAAATGGGTTGTTTTAGTGATTCTATTTCTGGGGTAGTGGTTGGTCATCGCACACTATGGAAGCTTTTCTTTGGCATTTCAGTTTGAAAAAGGCAAGTAGGGAAGCAAGTGGTGTATTCATACAAGATCATTTCAACTTGTCAGAACTGAATGAATTATGCACAGATGAATGGTAAATGTAAGTACATGAAAAAATGACTTCTACATCTTTGTGGCATTCTCAAAGGTTTTCCGAGATACTCCATGCTTTTGTATTTTTCTCTGGGGCTTTGTGGCAATTAGGTGGAAGGCGATGTTTTCAAAGCTTACCTAGCTTGTCCCGTAAGGGATCTATTTTGCATGTTGTTCCTCCACAGTTATTTCACAATTTGGACTTGCCATTGGCATCCCTTCCTGGTGGTGTTTTACACTCGCAAGCATGTTAGGTCCATAAGTCTGATCTACACCTCAAGAAACCAAATCAGAAGTAAGAAGATTGCTCCGGAATGACCTTCATCTGCTTAAGCACCAAAGCTGCTTTCTTCTTATGTCCATCCTCATGGAGAAGTTGGATAAGAACTCCCTCAACCCTTCGGAATGATGGATCCAAAGGATTGGTAAGATTTGTGTGACTCAAGATTTTCTCAAAAAGGTCCAGAGCTTTTGGTTTTGCCGAGTGGGACCCTTTCTCCAGGACATGTAAAATGGCGTCTATGCCTTGGTAGTCAACAATGGTGGCAGTTGCTTGAGATAGTGTTCTATCGTCTGTCAGCAATGTTTCAAGTGCCATCAAAGCAGCCTCTTGCACGCCACTATCTGTCCCCTTCAATGATTTCATGAGTGGCATCATTGCATCTGTCTTGACAAGGCAGAAAGTGTCCTTCGACGAGCAAGCAGTACCATGAACAGAACACATGCTTCCAATTTCTGATGAGGTTGAACAACACCAGGAGAAGTTGGGGAAGAGATTCAGTAATTGGCCGAGTGGTGCTGCCTTTCTGTCTGCTGTAGGGATAACCGTTGCACGAGAAAATGACAAGCTGGTAGACTGGGATAAATGGGCTAGTGCAATTGCCGCGCGTTGCTTGGCTAAAGAGCTCCGACTGGACAGCACACGGATTAGTGATGGATGCAGTTCGAGTTTTCCTACTTGCTTCTGTAGATCGATTTTGGATGGTTCTGTGTAGTGTAGTAGTGCTGCTAGCGCATTCTCCAACAGAAGTTCTCCCGAATTTGGCACAGTTCGAGCTTGATTGCTTTCCATGTCTACCCCACATATGATCTCATGAATGGCTTTTAACACATCTGATTTAAGTAATAGATCATCAATGGTGGTATCATCTTTCGGGAGTTGGCCAATGATTCCAGCAGCAACAGACCTTTCTTCTGGATCTGGTGAATGGGTAAGAGTGGATGCTATTTTGTGAATGACAGCTTCTTTTCTGGGCGTTGGAGGAAGCGGGACTCCACCAAGGTGACCGTTAGAGATACTGTATACAAGTTCCATTGTCCATCTTCTTACTGCAGGCTGACCGTTTTCAAGGCAAGAGTAGAGATGGGCAATTGCATCATCATCCAATCGGATTAGTTCTCTAGCTTGCTCAGATTTATGGCTGAGCTCCACCAGCAACTGTAAGAACTTTATTCTAGCTTGAGTCTCAGAAGTTGATATGAGGTGTAAGAATAAACTGATGCTGTGCTCAGACTGGAGCTCCTTCAAACCTTGAAATATGTGGAAGTCACAAGCCTCAGTGGCCCCGACCAGCAAGGCGAGAACCTCTACAGCTTCTTCCTTCAAGTATGGATCAGACATTACATATGATATGAGGCCGAGCAAGAGTGGAATAGTCATGGGGTCCGCCAGGAGCTGCTTAGCAATAGCAGAGTGTGCCACAAGTTTTTTGATGGCCTGGAGACAAGCTGATTTGTATGCCGGGGAGCTTGAAGAGAGCATTTCGACCAGACTATGTATAAATGAATCATTTTTCAAATCGATGACGCTAGTCTCCTTGAGTTGCATCTGTACTAAAGCCGCAGCCATCAGTGCTCTGGTCTCTTGCGATCCTGAATGAAGAGTTCAACAAAGTGACTCCATGGTTTTTATAATAACGAAAAATTCTGTTAGCTGGTTTTATGTACCTTCATTGAAGCGAGAAACAAATGGTCCGAAGTATCCACTTTCCGCCATTTTGACAACAAAGTGGGTGTTAAAGGACAGATTTTGCAGCACCTTGTGAGCTTTCTTCGACACGTTTCTCTCCCTGTAGTGAAGCATGGAAACTAATAGAGGAATGCTGTTTTTGGCGTTTCCGATTTCCTCTGCAATTGCCTCTCTCGAGGACAGCTCCAACAAGACTGCAATAGCATCGTGTGCCACTTCACCTTTATAGAGATGTTTCACAACGAGATGAATTGCCCCCGCTTTAACAATGGATTCCTGCAACTTTTTGGCAACACTATCTCACACACACTCGGAAAACAATAAAGATGAAATAATAATCATTGCTTAATGATCTCACCTTGCAGTCTTCTGAATGTCTGGCTAGGCAGCCGAGACATTCAAGCGTAGCCGCAGTATTTAACCTTTTGTTTTTCAGAAAGCCGACCAACTTCGGAATGGGGTTTTCTTCTGAAAATTTGGCAGCATAGAGAGGCGTTTTCAGTAGAGACTTCAACTCTTGTAAAGCACCATTTTGTGTAGACTCCTCGTCGGAATTGATCCCCTGTATTGCCGCTTGGAATTTTAAGTCCATGTCCCTTTGCTTCCATTCTTGTATGGATCCTCGAAGAGAGAGGTTTGGTGTTATGTCCAGAGAGGGAAGCTCCTCTTTGCAGGTGGGGCAGACTGTCTCTCCTCTTTCAAAGTGCTCTTGAATGGCCTTCTTCTCAAAGCTATGGCCACATAAGATTGCGACGGGCTCTGTCATAAGTTCATGGGAGAGTGGGCATAGAAATGAGTCGATCAGGTAATACTGGCGACGTGTGTTGGTATTATCATCTACAGGCCTTGTCACGATTTCTGTGCTACAGAGAAGCTGTATTAGCTGTGACAGCTGAAGTGCCTCGGCTTGTTTCTTTTGAGCCTCCATTTCTTCCTTCTCTTGCTTCAGAATTGCCAACTCCTGCTGCACTAAGGATGTATTCTCGCTAGCTCCAACAGCTTCTGCGATTTGCTCCAAGAGCTTCACGGCATTCTCGTGGTTCCTTCCATCCTGCTTTATCAAGTTCTCTATCTCTGAAGAAATTCTCTCTATTTTAGTTGAAGACTGGAACTCCACGGACCCCAGGTTGTCGATGATGTTGGCGATCATTGTCTTTACATTCAAGCCGATGTTGAGATTGACCAACTGAAATGAAGAGATGGTTTCAGCGATCTCTTTGGCCAATTCCTGCATCTGAGCAAGGACTCTGCTCGAACGGAGTATGAGGCGGAGGCGGCTGCCGGATCTGCAGTCTTCGATGACATCACATGCAAGATGTAGCTGGGAGTTCAATTTCTGCAGTTTGGTTTTTGTGAACTCTGAGCCGAGCTGGGCTTCGACCTTCCTGGCATCCATGGCATGGAGGACGCCGGTCAGTTGCGATATGCTTCTGGAGAACTCCTGAAAGCCGTCCTTCGCAAGTACCATGTCCCGTGTTTCGTCCGCAAGCTCCATGGCTTGTAGAGTCACCCTGTTCCATAGTTCTTGCAGAACTGCCACTCCGACGTCCTCGATTCTGGTGTTGAAGTTCATCGGGGGCGTGGGCGGGGCGCGTGCGTTGTCGTGGAAAAATACGCAGAGACCGGGTGAGCTTATCCGAGTCGACCGAGATGACAGCGGATTTCCTGGAAACCTAAGCTCTGATGTGGCCTACAAGAACTGCAATGGACGGCACAATCGTGGTTCAGTCGTCAGGAGTATGAGGTGCGTGTGAGAACTCGGGAAGAAGATGGACCATTAAACTATAATGCTGGGTCCTGAGTAGTCGAGCAAAGCGAAGGTCTTTCCCCTTTTTTTTCTTCTCCTAAAGCACCCTTGCAAGTACATTCAAGGAGACTTAGTTAAAAAAATGGTGAGGTCGCAGTCAGGAAAGTTGAAATTGAGAGCAGCACTGTGTTTGGTCCGTCGTGAAGTTCGGGGCTTGACTTCAGAATCAACTCCCACCACGATACCTTCTAGCGTTCGCGTTCATATCTTCTTTCTCGACATGGACCATTCCTCGTCCTTTGCTTCTCTGTTCACACGGACCGCCTTATGCATGCAAGAATAATATAGTCATCGATCAAAATCTGAAGCAGCTTCATCTCAGGAAATATGAAACGCAACTTTATGTTTGGAACTTTCCTGGCAAGAAAAGACCCTTTTGAACTTGTCAAATTTGTCACTACGCACCGGTAAGATCCCCATCCTGTTGGAAGTCAATACTAGGGCAATTGCCGTATCAGTTCTTCCGTCCTTCCCAGGGCGAGGCATGATTTTTGACTTCACCCATCTCGACGCGGCTTGTGTTGATTCATTCCTCCCGAATAGAAATCGTTGTTAGATATGCCGTGGACAGACCCAACGTGCGGTGTGTGGGTGACTTGCCTGTGCTGATTTGGTCATGCAATGAACTTCGATCGTACGCATATCGATCGTCCGAGTCGTTCGAGAGGCGCACTTCCGTGTTTGTTTGGAGGACTCGGCTTGCTCTGTTTCCTTCAATTTATTGTTGAGGGCCACCATCACGACTATATTAAGTGACTTAGACCTGGTCTTGGTCTTTGTTTGGATGACACAATTGTCTTCAATCTGAACCTAGACTATTGTATTGCAACTAGCTACCGTCTGATGATATTTAGCTCTAGGACGTGGCAAGATGACCTTCTCAACCCCTTTCCGGACATCGTGTGAATCGAACAGGAGTGCCGTTGAAAATATACGATGCAAAGAGAGCTCTTCCGTAATACGCTGTCTTGACGAAAAGAGGCTCTTGTTGGAAACCCTGGAGTAACGATTCTGCGATCGGCTCCGATCAGGTGGTCACAAGATACAATGGACACTTTGATCATGATGATCAAGATACCTTGTGGGGATAATACTTCTCTCTGAGTTGAAGAAAATGACAGTCCTGAGAGGCAATTGATGCGAGAACTGTCATCTTAAACAGATGGCTTTTGTTACTGGGCTCGCGTTATAGCCCAAAGCATGGGCCCTTTCTGTGCAAGTGTTTTTGAGTCTTGCACTTAACAACATAGTGTCCAAATCATCAAGCCCATTGAGGTGGAGTGTGTTCAAAGGGGGATTTACGATCAATTGAAACATTAATGTAATTAAATTTCTTATTACGTTTTACCCTCCTTCTCTCCCCTCCAGTATAATTCTGGCTCCGTCACCGAGCTTTTCATGACCAAAGTCAAGCAAAAACTCTTCTTTTTTTTTTTTTTGGTAACCCAGGGAACCCCCGCACGACCGACAGCCGGGAGGTAAACCCTGGGGGCGACACGTGCTAGCCATCACACACGTGCACCGGTTAAGTCACCCTGCGGCGCCCGGGATTCGAACACTCAATCTTTTGCGAGAGGAAGAGTGCCCTTTCCAGCAGAGCGGGATGTCGGCCGCCGGGTTGATCTCGATCCCCGTCAGGAAGTTGTGCTGGAGGTACAGCGTCTGGATGTTGGCGGCTAGCAGCCGGTCCACGAACGAGCCGGGCACCTGCCCCGTGAACCGGTTGTTGTTCGGGTACGGGTTACTGCACCGTCGAGAACATCGGGGATATCTCGGCCCGACAATGGTTGTAGCCGAGATCCACGGTCGGGATCGCCACCGCCCGCCGGCTCGACCTCCCCTTCGAACCCGTTGCGCTGCAGCTGGAGGTTCGTGATCGGGAACGCGAACAGCCGGCCCGGGATCGGGCCCGAGAACTCTCTTTACTTCTAGTGTCAATTCATAATTCTATAGTAGTGTGTATTATGATTCTCGCATCCATATTTTGGCGCATCTTTGGAACCTCATTCTATGTGTGGATCCCTTGCACCCAATCAAGGAAGCCAAGTTCAAAGTAAACATGAATTCGCCCGCCCGCTGGTCTTGCGAAAACGATATTTGTTCATTCTTTCGCTCTATCATTGAGTTGAGATAGCCGACATCCGTCCCACCGCTCGTGCCTGCAAAGGGTAGTCACCGTCGATACGCACGAGCACTTTCGGCTCTTCCCCACAATCAAACCAACAAGATAAAAAGACAGGGGAGAGCCACAACCCTTAGTTTGAGGGAGGGTGTATGCATGTATGGTTCCATGGTTTTGTTTGGTGTGGTTCGATCGAGCTCCAGGATTGGGGAACACGACCCGCTGATCCCGTTCAATGGCGAGCAAGCGAGAGCGAGAGAGAGAAGCATCAACACCATAAAACGAAATAATGATGAAAGCAACAAGTCCTAGAACCCAAAGGGGAACATGTTGGCAGCTACTATTCATTGCACACGATCACGGTGGTTGTCATTGTGGCCCATTCGCTTTGACTCTCCTTCCCTCCCTCCCTTTCTCGCTTCTGTCTTTTGCGTGGGATTTTTACAGAGATTTCTCATTCTCTCTTGAGGGGTCTTAGGCATAAAACAGTAGCTCTCGCCTTGCTGGCTCCATGAGGACCGTGCATTCTTGTGTCCATATCTGTCAGACGTTAAGTACAGGAGAGGTTATTCGCGGATATGAGCTCGGGAGCGGTTTTAAGAAAAACCTACCATTGCATGCACAGAAGATGAAGAACGACATGTGAAGTAACAAAGAAAAATTTGAAAGGATGAATAAGATTGACAAGCCAGTGAAATGTTGACTGAGGTACTAAGAGTCCAGTTATCGGATAAAGGGTATTCAAATCCGAAGACTCATTAGTGCTAGATCAAGAGGTTCATGCACATATGAACAGTTTCAGTCCGAACTGATTTTTTCGTTGAACTATTATATGGACCACCACCGGATTAGACTTTTCGCGCTTGCTTCATTGAAAACCATAAACGAGTGCAATTACCCATGCGATCGATGTCTTCGTCTATGAATTATTCCCGTAAAGATTATTTCGTTCTTGACATAATGTTCTACTGAAACCATAGTTACTCCATTCACCGGTACTTCGAGGGTTTGAGATCGTCGTGAAATTATGAGGTGCACAGGGGATGAGGACGAAGCTTACACACACGTGCAGTTCTTGGGGTTGGATGTGACAGGACTCAATCTGGAAAGGCAAGCAGTGACCCACGCTTCGCAGTCTTTTCACTTTCATCTGTACATGGTGCATCGACAAAGTCTCTATCTCTCTGTCTCTCTGTCCCACCACTTCCATTCTCCATGCTCGTGGAAAATTTTTGGGGGACACAAAATCCCTAGCAAAAGGACACATTACTCTTTTGTTCTCACTATATTCGCGGTCGGTGAATTTGATTTGATGGTTCAAATTATGCAGATAGCTTGAAAGTCTATTTGAAGTGACTTTTTGTTTTTCAGTTTTCTCTTTGATTATTTTACTTTCATTTGTTAGTGTTTTGGAGAGATTTCACTCTTCATTTAGAATTGAGCCACTTGAATCTTTAAACACGTATGGTTACGAAGATTTAGTGTGTCACATGAATTTATATGGGCATCTTTATAATCTATTGAAAAGACAAATAGCATGATTTTTTTGCTAAGATCTGTATCGTAATCTTACTTGGAACAAATATAGTTTTTTGATGTTAGACGCAAGATATATTTCTCGAGATTCCCTAACTAGGTCTTTTTTTTGGAGAAAATGATTGCATACTCAATTGTAGTGTGGTAGTAAAAATGGTATGACTAAATGATTGATGTAGCGTGAAGCGATTAATATAAATAGTTTGCCTTTAACTCATTAGCTCAGAATCTTGATCAGAAGTGAGTCAATTTAGATAAATTAATGAGCTTGAACTTGGGTTTACTCTTCGCGTTCTCCTGATAATGGAATTATCATGCTTTTTTTACACGTCCTAAAGAGTGATATTAGAGTGGATAGTTGATTGTCAGGCCCTCGAAATAGTGTACCGATATTTGATGATTATCTTAAGAAGGAATCTCATGACCAATACTATACTACCGAAGTTGTTCGGTATGATGATCTATACAATGGTGTTGCAACGCAGTCTTGGACTAATGATGATGGTTGTTGCATAAACATATCCTTAGTTTACATATTATTATCCAGGTAGGAGTAGATAATACATTCTCTTTGGTTCATACCTCAACAGACTTAAATTTTTTAGTGAAGATAGGTCTAACTAGAAATAAGTCGAACTTGCATTCGCTCTTCCTGATCTCCCAATGTCTGAAAACATACATTTCTTGGAGCTTGGCTTACAAGATAATTACGCACTAAAATTATCTTGAATATATGATATTCGTCTATCCAAATTCAATACAAGTTCATTGTGATATCAATTACCATCTAATTGAAAGAGTTTAGGGTGGAACAGCGGAAGCCCGACACCTCATTTTGGAGAGATTATCAAAAAAGATTTCAAGTTCAAGTCTATTAACATATCAACTTAAACCCATCTCCACTCAAAAAACTCAAGTAAAAAAAAATGAGTCATGGACCAATTAAGAATTATTAACTACTCAAAACCACGATTATTCTTCAAAATTAGGATTTTGCCTAACACCTTCTACACATTCATCTGATCAACAAAACATAAATCGTTCATCCAAGATGTTTTGCTTTTAACAAAAGTTCATCTTATATGAATATTGAACTCTATCTGTAATCATGTTACCAGTACCATACCATTTGATAATACATAGGTGATGTTTGTTCTATACATAGTGATTTTTTCTCTTATGGAAATTGCAGTGGAGACAGCTACAAGGGAATGCTCTGTCATTTTCTCTCTGAGACGTACCCAACAACGTGACTCCAACACACGTGTGGCTGGTCCTTGATGTCCTCCTTTTGATCCGGCTGAAGCAGTCCAAGATGCAGCCAAATGCCAACCACAAGGTGGCCTTTTCTAGCCAGACACATCCCCATTCTTCTTATTACTTTGAACATTCATTGAGTCCCCCTCCCTTTACTAGGCCAGCTTCTATTCGAGTCTCGATGTGATATGTTTGATGTTGAGGATTGTCGAATAGTGGGGTTTGTCTATAGCTCCATGTCCGCCAATATTATGAGATTTCGAAGTACAAAAATAAAATATTGCATATATATATCATATATATCCTCAAGAGAAAATATGGTATTCGGTAATGTATCAATCCTTTCATGCATTGGATTATGAAAA